GGATCGAAAGGCCTAGGATAGTAACATCTTCAGGCGCATGGGAGCGTTCTAGCAAAATCACTAACATTGGATCCTGACGCCGATTGCCCAGGTGAATCAGTCGAATTTAGATTCGAAAGTACTCGAAGAACTGCCTCATTTCGTTTCATTTTTTCATTAGCTATACAGGACACATACATACTTCTCACAAAAGTCGTGCGTTTGAGTGCGGAAAAGCAAGAGAAAATACAAGTCACAAAAAAGCAATGCAAGATTAAAGAACTAAAATACATCAATTTTGAAGAGGTGACCTTCAAGTTAGTGACAGTCCAGCCGGGTAAATATTCATTTTTATCTGACAAAGTACATCATTTAAATCACATGGTTCTGTTTAAAAAGGGAACAACTTTTTCAGGCGTGAAATGCTTTATGGTAACCGGAGATCATCCGTCGACGGCGGCAGCAGTTGCGAGTCATTTTGGACTAATCGCGCAACGAACATCTATTGTTTCGTTGGTAAAGACGCTTTTTGCTTAACTTTTCTTTCATTCTTTTATAGTGACAGTGGGTACTAATTGCAAGTATGTAGTCTAAAATAGAAAGTCCTAGAGTTGCTGTACCTTGCATCGGAGCATCCCAGTGGCACCATTAACATGGAATACCCAACGCATTCGGACTATTTTGGTTTTCTTCGTATTTCTAGTGGCATATTCGATCCAAGCGAAAGCCAAAAGCTTCGATTTTGCGCTCCTAGTGCAATATGTGGTTCTCTCTGCTGTAGTTCATACGATTTTTACGACCAGTTATTTCATCTCCTAGTCGATCCTTTTGAATTATGCTCGGCAGGATTGTCGTTTGCAAGGTCGTGGCACAAATTTCGCAGAGAATTCTTTCAACATAAAACTAGCTTATAACATCACTTGGGTTATTTTTGCATTTTTCTGTGTTTGCCTTAGCTGAAAATCAGTCAAGTATAAGAAATGCAGCGAATAATCTATGATATTATTAGACTAACGGCACTGGACTTTTTATTTTTCAAATTTTGAAGAAATTATTGGTTTCTGTTTCCCATCTTTACCGGCATGCCACCGGAAAAACTCAAATAATTATTTATATTTCTTGTTTGTTGCTTCAGTTATTAATTTTGCGCACCTTTAGTTGCTTTTTAAGGAGCGAGTCTTACTTGTGTTTTTGAGCCTCAGAACTTTTAAACTTACGAGGAAAGTTTGGGAACGTAATTTAACTAAAAATGAAATTGGACATGAAATTGCATACTGCCAGAGCTCCTTTTTCAGAATATGGAAGTGGAAAAAGAGCGTGATCAGTTATCAGTAATTCACTGCGAGAAGCTGAATACCCTGAGCGATCAAGAATGGGATGATATCCTGAAACAAAAAGCTGTTGTGTTTGCGCGTGCTACACCTTCTCATAAGCTGATCATTGTCAAGGTTACGCTCAAATTTGATAATAAATATTGCTGAAGGCCGCTGCCTATCAAGCGTGTTTGTGCGTTTTTGCATATCATTAGCTAATACTTTTGCGCATATCATTCTGGATGATTAAGCCCCGAAACTACGAAACATTGCAAGTTGTATGAGTGTTGAATTACGAACGATAAACGGCTAATATCTTTTTGGGTGTGCACTTAAACAATTTATGTCCAATTCCTTATCCTAAAACTATTGAAGTCTGTGTTTTTCATAGCTCAATATCTACAAATGTGATTAGGGCCTGTTTTTTGACTGCATTTACAGCTAAGAGATGAAACAGAGACATAAAATGTCTCCGCTTCATAAAATGTCTCCGCTGCAAATGATTTTAGATTAATCCCCTATCTTATCCCCCTAATATTTCATAAATCCCGGAGATGAGCAGTCTCCGATTAAACTGTGTTTACGAATCTTATCATGGATTATTTTGACTTATTTGAAATGAATGAACAATTCCTCTGCATGTACAGTGACATTTACGGCCATTGTGAGTTGAAAAGTTCCAATCGCATAGTTTTTTTAGGCTCTTTGTGGAAACCGTTACTCATCTACGTGCTAGCTTTATCTTTACCTGGTCGTAAGGCAAAAGTCCTCCTGCCTAAAAAAAACACGCTCACTTGGACATACCTTACAACTTGTCGCTCGTTCACTCAAATTCATACCGCTATCAGCTTACGACTCATGCAGAAGGAACAGTCACTAGTACTTCATTAAGCAGTATATCAAAATACACTGTCATTGGTGGCATGCCGTACCAGCGAAGTAAGAAAATTATGACTCGAAATTTTAGAAAATTCGTGAGCTAACTGCTGTAACAAAATAACCGGTAGGTTCCAAACATTTCGATTTTTGAGGGACGAGTGAGGGAATGGGGCTTGATCGAAAAGCCAGAATTACTCTGAGTGAAAAACCCAAGATAATGGACCAACTCATGCTTGAACTATAGTGTTACAGTATTAGGAGGAACAAAACTTTAATAGCACGATCTCCGACGTCTGTATGATTGCACCTGTGTTTTCACATTTTTTACCATTTTCTAGCTTAAATCGTGGTAGTTGTTTTTATCAGCTTTAATCAGCTTAAATCGTGGTAATTGTTTGCGAGTCAAAATTTATCTCTAGGAATGTCGGCGTCGAGGCGAAGTGGTAGCGGTGACTGGGGACGGAGTCCTGGATGCGCCAGCACTCAAGGAAGCCGACGTTGGAATCGCTATGGAAGCAGTTGGTAAACACGCGTTTTTGCGTTATTCGTTCTTGCAAAGAATGTAAAAAAAGGGCAGATCGACAGATTGATAAAGAAAGGTTGAAATGACCAAAATGGGTGATTTGCATAGCTTAGATGAGATAGTTTGGCCGTGTGCGAGGGAGATTGGCGAACAGCTGCATTCGGCACCAAGTTCTTATTTTGAATAGTATCGTGTCGGATTTTTCAACGAAAAAATTTTAATGGAACTTCAATAAATCTTAAAGTTTGATAAACTTTTGTAAAAACTTATAATTGCTAAATTTCGCTGCTGCTTCAAAAAAAAAATCCTGTTCAACTTCCTTCAATGTATTTTAAGCATGAGAACTCATTCTTGAAAGGCAGAGGCCCTCGGAATTAGCCTGGACGGTAACAAGAGACAATAGAAACCCCCTGATGATGAGTTCTCAGTGAGTTTCTCTTCTATGGGTTGCCTGGAAGCAAGTTGATGACCGTATCCAGTCATGCATCAGTACCAGTTTATAATCAGAAGGATTGAACGAACTTTTGAGGCATTGCCCCCCCCCTCCCCCCCCACTACTGGTGTCATATCTCCAACCCTTGTATAAACAGTAGCGCTCCGTCACGAAGACCAGTGAAGAAGGTGAAAAATCAAAAAAAAGTTTTTTTAGGAAGTGCTTTTGCGAAAGAAGCGGCAGATATGGTATTCAGGAAGAGCGATATAAAACATCTTGTAGAGGGTATCGAAGAGGGACGATTGCTGTATGCTAATTTAAAGAAAACTATTGCATACACATTGGCTCATATGGTTCCAGAACTCTGTGCTGTAGTGTTTACATTCGCTTTCGGAATCCCAATAGGCCTCAGCAGTCTACAGGTTTGTTTTTATCGGTAAAATATTTTTTTTTAAATGAACGATTTTGGTAAATGAAAATTTCCTGCAATCACATGAAAATTGAAAAGCTAACTCTAAGTCATCAAAATTAATTGTTGCAAAGTAAAGCTTAAAAATAAAACAATTTAAAGCTTGAAACTTCAGTTTCTTTGAAAAAAGGCATCTCCCATACTGCTTACTCCGTAGAGGACGAGTTCGTCTTAAGTTTTTAATTCAGTTTCTGTTCAGCCTAAGTTTAATTTTCGAAGTTCAGAAACTTCAGAACTTCAAGCTTTTGCCATTTTTTCTTTAAATTTTTTGATGCACTTTAGTTTTAAATCGTTGCGGCTCCACCTTACAGGTCTTTCACCATTTTTTTCAAAATTCTTATTATTCAGGTACTGTCAATTGATCTAATAACAGAAATGCCACCCTCAATTGCGCTCACTTATGAAACTCGGGAAAAGGATATAATGTTGAGGGTGCCGAGGAAGAAAACTTCGAAGCTGGTCTCACGAGCACTGCTTACTTATTCGTATATTTTTGTGGGCAGCATTATATCGGTTGGATGTTTCGCTGCCTATTTAGCCGTTTTTTGGTTTGTTTTGCTCCTTCTGCTTTTGTAGAAATTCTGGATTCTGTATTCTGGATGAAACATAAACTGTGATAAATTTTCTCAAGTTTTTCTTGGAAACTTTAATTGTCGCCCAGTGATTTCTGTGTATTTTTACAACATTATTGACATTCCAACACTCTAAAAGATAAAAAGACTTTTTGGCACATTGAAGCATCAAAAAAAAATGATTTATTCCAGAAATTCTGGAATTTCACAAAATTACTGCGCCCAACTCTAGGTCCTTAGTGTTTATTATGCATTATCTTGTTTGAATTGAAGCATTTTGATGTTTTAACTTAGTCCGCGGTGAATTGGCTAACCCGACTTTTCCAATCTGATTTTTTTTTAGACGTAATCTTTTTCCGCCAGTAGTTTGCGATGGCAGTAGTTTGCTTCTAGTTTTACATCCACTAGGGTTTTCCTGAATCTTGACTTGTAATATTTCATGCATTGGCTTGTTTAATTCATATTTGTTAAACTTTCTTCTGACTATTTCCAGCTTGCTTGGTACTCTTTTAGTCCAGCCTGTTGCTTTAGTTAATGGAAAAAAGAAGCTTCAGGCACTACAGTATAACACCGCGAGAGTTACTTTATTCGAATACAAACTATTGGCACCCGACTTCCGAAGAATTTATCACTTCGAGCGGGGAAAGATATGCTGCAGAAATGCAAATGGCAATTCACGGACAGGCGCAAGCTGCTTGGCATATCACTCTGGTCATGTCACAGGTCTGATCTTTTGCCAAAAATATTTTTCAATTTTATTAAAATTTTTTTTAACCAAACGAATTTCTTGTACTATTTCATTCAAATTCCATTTAAAAAATTTTTCTCATGTTTAACCAAACGAATTCCTTGTTCTATTTCATTCAAATTCCACTTAACAAATTTTTCTCATGTTTCATCAAAGCAGGAAAAATGTGTAGACAGTGCACTAGTAGTCAAAAATAAAAAATAATAAATCGCTGCGCGCTAAAACAGAATTGGCCAAAGCGCCCACCACCGGTAAAAAAAGCATACACCGCGAATATGCGAGGAGTTAAATATCCAAATGCAGGAATTGCGCTTATCAGTGAATATGGGAGGAGTTAAATACCCAAATGCAGGAATTGCTCTTATCAATGATCGAGTTTTCCAGGTCTTTCACTTTTGGATGTGCACCACCAGGCGGATTTCAATTTTTGAACATGGCATTCACAATATTGTTGCCGTATTTGCTGTGTTGGTTGAAATTTGCCTGTTAAGTTTTGTAATTTATACGCCAGGTGTTCAAGATTGGCTCGGCGTTACACATCCGCCAATATTCGTTTGGCTGTTCTGCTTACCGGTCGGCATTCTACTTATAATTTTCAATGAGGTATTGTTGATATTTTTGTAACTTTGGTAAAACTTCTTGAAAAATCAGTTTCCGATCGATCCTGTCTTACTAGCCTTGAGTTCCAAAAATCGCAGTTGGGCATTTTTTTGCTGTTCGAAAAGTCGACGTTATCGAGTCGATTAAAGTGAAACAAGGCCGTAGGACAGGTTTTGGAATGCATCAAACTTTATGATCGGACTTCTTTTAATATTCGCCGCAATGTCTAATTTTTTATCAGCTGAACGGTTCTCTCAACAGATGCAGTGGGTAAGAAGTTAGCCGTTTTGAGATGCTACTGGTGTGTGTTAGGCATTCTCGCGGACTTGTTTTGCGGTTTGTTTGGCTATTCCCGGACAATACCCAATTCGCTACACCACATCCCGTGGAAGGAGCTCTATTTGAAGTGATTAGGCAGTTGAAGGGAATCGAACCGCTCGTCTTCACGTCCTTACGCATCACACTGCACCATTGCTTCACCAGTCCTTGTGCTTCAATTACTTGCTGGAACATCCATATTCTGTACGCACAGCACCCCAATACATGGTTCTTATATTGTCTGGCTGTTATACTCTTCGTGCAGCACACTCTTTCGACAATTGCCGGCTTTTCGCGGGACTTGCGCGACAGGCATTGCCACCCTGTTTCACTCTAACAAACAAGATGATATCTAAGCATATGATGATTGAGGGCTCAGCGGTACTGAAAAATGGCTTTATTCACTGATTTGTTTATTTATACAGTGGAAATATTAGTTATGACATATATGGAAATATAAAACTGTTTTAAAAAATTAGATGAACAAGAATGTTTCGGTCCATTAAGGCGTATATGTTCCAATTCAGCATTACGACTGAACCTCATCAGTATAACAGTTGTGGTGTTGGTAAAATAAGTGAAATGAATGTTTGGAAAAAATATTCGGATCTGACTTTTTAAATATGCATTTTTATATTTTATATATTTTATCGCAAAAAAGCGAAATTTTGCTAATTGAGGATCAATGTGCAAAATTATTAGTGAAAGTCCTGTTTCTCGTAAGCTTAAATGGTATAACGTGCTACTTCATCCGCACCCCACACTCTTT